TTGTAGTGACGTCAACTAGTTTGCGTTCCAAGCGTATCAACCTGTCCATGCCTATTCAATCACCTTATCTTAACGATCATGAAGCACGCACGAAAAGCATGTGATGTCACTACAGACATTTTGGTAAAATACAGAGTAATGTACAATGTAGTGTAGGTATACCTATAATACAAAACATGATTTATTTTTAGAATGAATTTGATATAAAACAGCTTTTGCCCAAATAATATTTCTTCAATGATAAACCTGACAGGTGATGTCACTACAGAAGTTGTGATGAAACAAAGGGTATTCATTACTTAAAGCATACACATTTTTTTCCACATAACAGGAAAAGATTAACAATTGATTGCATTGCATGAGAACATGTCTTGTCAAGACATTTAACTCACTCTTTACAAAAAACAAAAACAAACACAAACATCAGAAATTCATAACAACAAACTGAACCAAGGGTAAATTTGTAATATGTCACATTTTCATATATGAACAAAACACTCTTGCATGCACTATCCATTTCAGAACTCTATATAGATTGTGTACATGTATGTAAAACTATAAAACTGTTCAAAACAACACTGGATGAAAAATTGAATACACTCAATGGTATATGCAAGATTGGAGTTGACCAACTCTGTAGCTTGTCACTACAGACGTTTTGGTAAAATACAGAGTAATGTACAATGTAGTGTAGGTATACCTATAATACAAAACATGATTTATTTTTAGAATGAATTTGATATAAAACAGCTTTTGCCCAAATAATATTTCTTCAATGATAAACCTGACCTTCTGTTTCAACTCCTTTTCTGAAATACCAGCCATTCCACAAATTTTGGTCAACCAGCATTTAACTGCAATGATACTGAACAATCAACTTTTTTAACATGTACACTATGAACGGTGAATTGTAAACTGTATATACCTGATCTAACTATTATAATATGATATACTGTTTAATACAGGCTAGTGGTTACATTTTAATACACAACTAACAAATGTATTACAACATTGCTCATACTAGCTACATCAAATAACAAAATGTTATACATATAATTTGAGAGTGCTCTGGTAAGAATATTTTCATGAGGTGAAAGATTAGTTGCACCATACCAGGAGCTGGCGGAACGGCCAATCTTCCACTAAAATGAAAATATTCTATCCGATGAATAAAACATTTATCATTTGTTGTATAACTCATCTACAGATTCCCATCTAAAATATTTTATAAATCATCAGGAAGACAAGATTCAATTCAATAAAAACTATTTTTTTAATGTTCCTTTAGAAGCAGAACCCACACTTATAATTGGCGGTGGTCATCACGCTTGGAATTCAAACCCAGAAAAAGTGTTCTTTGCAGGTGATGTCACTACAGAAGTTGTGATGAAACAAAGGGTATTCATTACTTAAAGCATACACATTTTTTTCCACATAACAGGAAAAGATTAACAATTGATTGCATTGATTGCATTGCATGAGAACATGTCTTGTTAAGACATTTAACTCACTCTTTACAAAAAACAAAAACAAACACAAACATCAGAAATTCATAACAACAAACTGAACCAAGGGTAAATTTGTAATATGTCACATTTTCATATATGAACAAAACACTCTTGCATGCACTATCCATTTCAGAACTTTATATAGATTGTGTACATGTATGTAAAACTATAAAACTGTTCAAAACAACACTGGATGAAAAATTGAATACACTCAATGGTATATGCAAGATTGGAGGTGACCAACTCTGTAGCTTATCAAAGCTGACCCATAAGTCGCTGTTTGACCAACAAATTACCTCATACAGTGGCAACTCGTTCTTGCAAACCCTTTTCTTAACACAAAGTTCCAAATAATACAAAGAGGAATTCAATTTCCAAGGTGTTCTTGTAAATTTCATTCTATCCTGATAACACAAACCTAAATCCAAACCCCCACCAACTTTGTGTAAATGAGTTGCTACTCTACACAGTACAGGAACGAAGATGCTTCTGATCCCAGCCAAATGAGGAGATATCAAACTTGAATGGGCATAGTACCTTAACAAGTTTGATCAGATCACAGATTGGAGAAATGCAATGGAGCATCTCATGTTTGCAAAGGGACTTTGGGGCTAACTCTTATTATCTCCCCAGCTGGGTCAACACAAGTGAGCATCATATGTCCCCGTTTAAGCTGAAAACCTTTATACATGGGCTATTCAATTCCTAGGACGACCAGCCGGGAGGTAATAATCAAGGTTGGCCTGCAAAGTCCCCATTTGATCTACACAACTTTTAACATCTTAAAACATGTAATTACCTACAACTTAAGGATGCACCCAGCAACGTCAAAGTTTGCCATACCCTTAAATGATTTTTTTTTTATTGCTATCTTCAAACTCTGTTCCATCATGTCAGTAAATTCTGTGATGCTAATATAAACATTGAACCATCAAAAACTGTTTTGTGGACCCTTTTCAGGTTTAAAATCTAACAAAACTACAGATGAAACCTTTTTTAACGCAAAATGACAGTGTCCGTTTATGCGATGCATGCTACGTGTCCCGTCACATTGCAACACGATGTGCAATATCCGCGCAATCTATCTACGTGACACAACGCCCATGGAAACAGCAAGCAATGTAAACAGATGGTGAGACCATGTGGACGTTTACTCTCAAATCCATATAAATTCAATTGGAAAAAATGTCTAATGTACCATCGGATGCAGCATATTGTCGGCAACCGTATACCAAAGTCAGGATCGAGACACAGGATCTTGGGGTTTTCAAGATGAGATTGAAAATGCAACTGAAAATCCATGTTTCTGCATAAAATCATAATTTCAGCCATTTCATTTTTAATAGTTTATATGAGTTTTGAACCCTCAGGACTCAAAAATAAAACATTTCTGATTTAAGATTTCATACAGAATACATTGTACCTACTAAAATCTAGTAACGTTTTTTTGTAATTAGGCCCTAGAACTTTTTTTATAGCCCACAACTCATAAGTTCAAACTTGGTTATTATATTTTTGGTACATTGTGAGTTATATTTTGGACACTAGGAAAATAATTTTTTGTTGCAAGGATATTTTATTTATGGTGGTCGAAAAAAATGGGTAAAAAAAATGATAAATTGTTGTCCAAATTGTATGTGTTCAATGGATTTAACAGGTCATTTTCAGCCAGAAAATGTATACCTTTATACACTTCCCATCAATAGTTTTTGAGTTACATACGAGATGAACTATACTGCATAAAGCATGTTGCTGAGTGCATCCTTAAATAAACAATGTTCTTGGCTCAGAAGCTGATCATAGTTTGTCGCAGAAATATACCCCACTTACCCTGCAAATCTTTATACAAACTGTTACACATTGGTCAATGCTCCCTGATAATTGACTGCAACTGGAAAATTATCGAAGCTGGCAAGCTTTGAGTCCACATTTGATCTGTAAAACTTTATTCACAATTTGGCCTTGACTAACTGGGGATCTGATCATAGATGGTACAAAGTCCCATTTGATCTGCAGACATAACTTAATAGAAACACATTGAACACATGATTATGCTTTAATGGTTATCTGGCCCTACCCAATAGCTGAGTGCGAGGACCTGATTAAATTTCACAAAAGGGGCAAATGGTCTACTTTTTGATGATTTTTTTGAAAAAAAGGGTCCAAACTTAGATGAAATTGGACAAGAGTGGTGAGATATTTATAAAGTCTAATAAAGGCCAAAGGTCCATGGTAATTGACCAACAGTCAAAACCCAACTGCTAACCAAGTTGTCTCATAAATCAAAATTAGACATGTTACTTTTTACACAATTTTCAATTTCATGGGACTTCACCTGGCCTTGACTAATTGAGGATCAAAGGTGGTAGCTATGTCCCATTTGATCTGCAATGTACTTAAAAATCTAAATTTTGCAAGTAGCGGGCCTTTGACGAGTCAAGTTAGCCATAAGTCCCCATTTGACGTGCAAACTTTAGTTTACACAATGTGGATGCTTCCTCATCAGCTGGAACTAGCCAACTGAGGACCTCGATCATCACAGTTGGCTCTTAAATCCAAACATTATACATAGCGGTCCTTTGACGAGTCATCATGGCCCTGATCAACTGGTGAGCCAAGTAAAGTTGACCAAAAGTGCCCATTTGACCTACAAACTTAACTTTCACACAATGTACACATGCGGATGCTTCCTGGTAATCGGACCCAAGCCAACTGAGGACCTGATCAAAATTGCCCATAAGTCACTAGTTGATTGCAAAACATTACATACTGGCCTATTTAACTGGGGAGCCAAGCAAAGTTGGCCTAAAGTCCCTATTTGACCTGCAAACTTTATTTTACATAGTGTACACATGTGGATGCTTCCTTGTCATGGTCTAAGCCAACTGAGGACCTGATCACAGTTGGCTCTTAATTCCCAGTTGATATGGAAAACATTATACATCTAGTCCTATCACGAGTCCTATCAACCATGAACCTAATCTAGGGGAAG